AAGGCTATTACTGATTATCTTAGAGAAATCGGAAAGGTATGATTAAAAATAATCAAACATTATTATTATATTATTAATTTAAATAAATTATTTTTTGAATAAAATTTTTAAGGTCATGAAGGAGACAGTTGTAATGAGATGGCCAAATGTTTATTTCTTTGAAGACGTATTATTAGTTTCTACGTTTCCTGCAGAATATTCTGAAAGTGCAAGATCGATTATGAGGGAATGTATATTTAATGCAGGGTTGATTAAAGATAAAAATTCAACAGCATTACAATTCATTACAGAACGTGAGAACATTCGCAACTCATATTAGATGTGATTTTTTAATTTTTTGATTTCTTAATTTCTAATTTAATATGTTGATTACTAGCTGAAGCCGCTGCAATATATTGCATGGAACAGCTTCAAATTTATGATCTTGAAGCAGGAAGTAAGTAAATAAATTACATCTAGTTATGTTGGTTTATATTTTAATTTAAAACTCATGATAAAATAAATTGCAGCAAATTTTATGGTTGTTGACTGTGGTGGTGACAGGGTAGTTCTGACTACTCGTAAATTGGTTAATAGAAATCAATTAGGTGAAATCGCTGAAATATCTGAGGATTTCTGTGGAAGTACTTATATCGATAAGGAATTTATCAAATATTTAAGTAGTAAAGTTGGGTATGGTGCTATGGAGTTGCTCCGAACAAACCATTGCGGACAAATGCAATACTTAATTCAGAGATTTACTAGAGAATATAAAATGCTTTTTACGGGAGAATCCAAAGAATTTAAACCTTATTATTTTGATCTCAATTATACTATTCCCATGATAAAGCAATATGTTACTGATAAGAATAGAGAAATTTTGGAAGAGATAGAATGGGATATTGAACTTGGTTTTTATGACATAAAATCAATGTTTGACCCTGTTGTTGAAAAGATTTTACGATTGATTCATGCGCAACTCGATAGTTCTCTTGAAACATGTTCAGCTATGTTTTTAGTTGGAGGATTTAGTGAATCAAAATATTTACAAAACAGAATTAAACGAGAATTTCAACACATTGTACGTATCATTTTAATTCCTAGTGATCCTACAATTGCAATTGAACGTGGAGCTGTGATGTATGGATTATCTTCTATGAATTCAGATATTACTACGAGAGGTCTTAAATATTGAAGATTCTGGGTAAGTTTCTTTTTTAATAATATAATAATAATGTTTGATTATTTTTAATCATACCTTTCCGATTTCTCTAAGATAATCAGTAATAGCCTT